CACATCCCGGTGGAGGCAGCGGGAGGGACGGAGGGACAGCGCCCCGGCTGAGCCGTGCCCGGGGCTGCCTTGCTCCACCACCGCCCTGTGCCAGCGCCCAGGGTGGCACTGGGGCCGAGGGGACCCGCTGGCTCCGGTGTCCCCTCCGGTGGTCGGGGGGATGTGCTGTGCTGGCACAAGCAGCTCCCGCGTGTCCTGGGCCCCTGGTCCCCAGGCCGGGGATGTTTTATTGTCAAACCTGCTCAATGGTCTACACCTAAGTAAAATGGACGATCCTTGTTTTTCCCACCTAATGCTGAAGATTCGCTCTACACTGAAAACCTTGTGCAGAAATAATTTTGGATATTTCTAGTTAATTGGTCTTCTAATTCTTATTAATTGGTCTCACCTCACGAAGCAGCTTTATACACCATGCAGTGTTGGCTTTCTCTTTCAGTTAATGTCATCTACAAACAATTAAAGGGTTTTTTGAAGTCTGTCTGAGCCTAGAGGCCTTGGCATGCCTCACATTTAGCTGCTTGAAGTTGTTTTCCATTAAACAGACCAGGAACTGTGACTGAGGGGTTGTTTTGCACCGATGACTAATGCCTGCTTGCAAGAATATGTACTTTGTGCATGCAGAGGTGCCTGATGGAGAAAGAGAAGTGGAATAATGGGCTTGGGTAATCAAGCCGAGTTTGATGTTAAATTTTGTATTTTCCCAAGCAAGCCAACAAAAAACATGTGTTCTGATGACATCTGTGAGCCCCTTTCAAAGTCCAGGGCAGGAGGGAGAGGCAGAATGGCAGAAAAACCTCTGACTTCATTTTAATGAAGATTGCTGTTTGTTCCTGCAGTTGAAGTGAAAATTGAAGTTGTGATACCTGAGAAGGAGAGAAGCAAGGAGGAGATGTCGCCCAACGGGAAAGCCAGCCCCTTGGTCTACAAAGTCAATGGGACTGCCCGGCATTATCATCTTGAGGAGCATCCCATTGCCAGCAATCCCTACCACAACCCAAAGGATGTGGTGGAAGCGTCCGTGTGCCACGTGAAAGACCTGGAGAATGGACAGTAAGTGCCTAAAATCTTTGCAGGTAAAGCCTGGGAGACCTTATACCCCAAACCAAACCCCCTATCTTGTTCTTTACAGTTTCTGGAGATGATAATTTAACTTGGTAAAATAATTTTTTTTTCTCATCTTAAAAAAATGACATCATGGACAAGCAACACCTATTTTTTACCAGAAGGTCTGCTGTTCCCTGCACACTCCACCCTGGGACTTGTCTTAGAAAGACGTGATGTTCTGTAGCAGAACTTCTCAAGAGGGTCTGCTCAGCTTGCATTAGACAACCCTGACAATTTTTTATAAATTTATAGCCTTACTAGTTTTACAAAGCAGCATGAGTATCACGTGGGTGGAGCTGATGGGGAAGATTGTGTGCTCCACCACTTCTGCTTTGAGCCAGGCTCATCTCTCAATTTGCTCTTTCACCAAGGATGCAGTTTTCCAAATTTTTTGCTAATGGCAACACACTTCAACTGTGTATAGTCTCATTACTCTGGTTGAAGAGTTTTCTGAAGTGTAAAAGGTTTCTGTTCCAGTCACTGTGCTTTACAGGCTGGTGTTTCTTTTCTGGGTTAGATGTGCCTTTTCTGCAGCATGTTCTGTTAGTCTGATGGCCAACATCCCAGCATGCTCTGTCCTTGTGTGAAAGAAAACATAGCTCAAAATAGTTTTTATTCCAGTGAGGGGGTGTTGTCAGGTGTGTGGGACACAGCAGGAGTCTGGCAGCTATTTGCTTTAAATTGACTTTGTGTTTAGGTTGTTACTAAAAGAGTGTGCTCTGCTGTGGTGCCCCAGTGCAAGAAGGATGTTGGAAAATTAGGGCTTCAATAGATATATTGACTGGAAAGCTTGCAGTATGGTAGATGAAAAGATTTGAAGAGCTCTGCCGGTTGTGGGGAAGGGGAGAAGGGAGCTGGCTGCAGTCCATGAGAACATACCTGGCTCAGGTGGCTGTAGCAGGGAGCTCCTCAGCTAAAGCCATCAGTCTGGAAACTGGGCTCACACTTCAACTGCGTGTGCATGCGGCTACTGAAACATGCTTCGAAGTATGGCAGCAGACTTGCCATCACTGGACATTTTAAGTTGAGAATAGCTCTTTTCCTAGCTCAAGAGAGAGGTGCTGCAAGAAGGTCCCACGGCTCCTGTAAGCCAGGGGCCAGGCCAAAGGAGTCCCTTCTTGCTCTGATATCCAGAGGGATTTTCTGGGATGCTTCTCTCAAGTACAGCGGTGTCCATGGGCATGGCAGTAGTGTGGGGCACTGGCACGAGGCTTCAGGCACCTCTAAGTTGTGGAGTCATCAAGGACAAGACCCTCTTTCTGCCCACCCCATCTACCCTTCTGGTACCAAGATGGTCTTAGCAGAACTGATAAAAGATACTGGAGGATAAACTCTGGTGCTGCTGTACCCAGCCAGCCTCCCAGCAGGCTAACTGGAGGAGGTCAATGAGCTGCAGACAGAAAACAGCCCCCAGTGCTCCACCAGCTCCTGAGCAAAGGTCCTTTGCAAGCCACAGCTGAATTTTAGCTGGTGCTTCCCAAGTGGGGAGTGTACTGGGGCAACAGGACAATTTCCCAACTGAGTAAATAGCTCAACGGGCAGCAGTGCATCGTAAATCACCCTCTCGCTCTCTTTGGGGTGCATGTGGGATCAGGAGTCTTGCAGGTGGCTGTGTGCTACCTTGAAGACACTAGGTCTTGTTTTTGACTCTCTGGGTTCCCACAGTTGCTTGGGTAAGTTGTAAACTCTTCCACTTATCTTATCTTATCTTCCCATAGAGTTATGGCTGTCATTTAACGAGAACCACAGGTTTTGTCTGAAGTACTGTATAGCTGAGGAATGCAGTAGGACTTGTACTGCTCTATTCCCCTTGTGCTGACAGAAGGACCTCCAAGTGTCCTACACAGGGAGGGAACAGAGCTGCATCACAGGGGAGTGGGGCTGCCAATTCACTGGGACAAAATGGCTCCCAAGGGCAGGTGTGATGAGCTCTCTGAACAGCTCTGCTGCTGTTTTCACCTGAGATGGCAAGGAAATTCAGCATTTGGTGTTACTCTAGTGGTACAGTTGATGCAGGTGGAGCAGGCACCCGCACAAAGACTTGTCCAAGGTGGGTTTGAAGGTGTTGGTGGACTGAGCCCTGGTCTCATCTCAACACAGAGGTGTTGGTGGACTGAGCCCTGGTCTCATCTCCATGGCTGTGAAGCAGAGAGTGGGACAAGTGTCTGTGTAGCCTCGGTGCAAGTGACAGGATAGAGTTGGGATGTTGGCCAAAGACAAATGAGCATGCAAAGCAAGTCCTGTTTGTCTGAGACCCAGGGACCCATTGTGCATGAACAGCATTCATGGATCACATGTAGCCAGTAGCTTTCCTGAGCACGTGGGGTTTGCTGTGTGCACAGCGGTGTATACAGTATACCAAAGGCAACCTGAACGTGCCAGGCTGGCTGTAGGTATGGTCCACCGCGGAATGGGAACAACCAGGATTTCCCAATAAACCTCAAGTTGTGCGGGGACAGACTTTCTGGCTGGAAGAGAGGACGTGTCCAGGGAACAGCAGCACTCCGGTAGCTCTGCGTCCAGCTCCCTGCAAAGCGAGGGCTCGCTCCTCATCTCTCTGCTTTCCTCCATGGTTAACTGGAAGGCTCTGCTGCAGGGAAGCAGCTGATGATAATTGCATTGGGAAGAGGTTCAGTGCCTCATACAGAGCCATGGGTTGCATAGGGTTTACCAGGGCTGCTGTTTGGAAAAGGAGCACCTGGGCGATGAGAAGAGAAAAGGAGGCGAGGACAGGACATGCTGGGATGAAAATCTGGTGGAGACATAATGAGAGAGCCAAGAGTAAACATCTGCTCAGTGCAGGGCAACATCAGTCCCACTCCACAACACTTGGGCAGCCTGCACTGCGCCTATGGTTGGAAAGCTGTAGAAATCCCCTTGGCAAAGATCTGGGCGGGGGAAGGAGTGGGGGTCTCGGTGCAGGAGCCTCCTGCATATCCCAAGCTCCAGACTCTGCAGAGAGGAGCAATGGGCAGCCTCCTGGAAGCGATGAATGGTTGAAAGACTCAGAGGTGCACGGTCAGCAAAGAGATGCTTTTGGCCAGGACAGGGGTGGCTGGAGCCTCAGCCTGGCTTGGCTGGTCAAGGACCAGGTGACTTGACCCTGGAGCTGGGGAGGTGTGATCCAGAGACTCTAAAAATTGCAAAGCTTTGTGTGTGAAGGATTCCCGCTGTGCTAATCACGCTTTTGTCCAGGGCACCTCACAAACAAGTGTGGTCTTTCAAAGAGCACCCGAACCCCTCTGGCTCGAGGGTTAAGTCGTCTCCTCGGCCATTGCGGGGCTGAGTGCCGGTAGCACCAGGGAGGCAAAGCGAAGCAGGTGCAGAGCTGGGGCGGGCAGGCCAGAGCAGGCGGGCAGGCCGCTGTGCGAGATCTACTCTGCAAAAACAGCGGAGGGAAGCAGCGAGGAGGTCCCGTGCAGGTGTCTGCTACCCCAAAGGTTTTATCGGGAGAAGGTGGCCCACGTTGTTGACCCTGGGATGTGGCCAGGGCCAGAGCATGGCCCCCTGAGGGGCAAGGAGGCAGACCCCAAGGCCGGAGTACACAAAGGGTCAGAGTTGCCTCTCCTGGTTTTCAAGTCTCAGAAATGTGTTTGCTTTGAGTGAGTGAACACAAGCCTGGCAGGGACCTGCCGAGCTGCTGGGGCCAGGAGGGGAGGTGATGCCACAGTAACACCAGTTTGGTGTCCTGCTGCCACTAGTACTGACCCCAGTAGTACTGAAAAGCTTTATTCTGACCTCCTGGGCTTGGGTAGAGACCACCAGCTGCTTCCCAAGCAGCTGGGGAGGGGCTTTTGGCGCAGTGATGGATGAAGAAGCTGCCACTCAATGGCCCAGCTTGGATCTGGCCCAGGCTGGGAGCAGCAGGGCCACCTCCAGGGCTGGCTCGGTGACAGGAGTGACCCACACCTGTACGTCACCTGGAGCGGTGGTGAGCAAGCTGAAGTGGGGGGAGGCTGGTGGGCCCAGGGCTAGGGCCCAGGGCGGGGGATGGTGTCTGCTGCCATGCGGATGCTCTGCCATGTGCTTGCCATGCTCCTCCTCCCCAGGATGCGGGAAGTGGATCTGGGCTGTGGGAAGGCTCTGCTCATCAAGGACAGCGGCGAGTTCCACGCCGTGGGACACAAGTGCCCCCACTATGGGGCCCCCCTGGTCAAAGGTCAGTCTGCATCACGTCCTAGGAGACAAACCAAGGACATCAAAATGTTGGCAAAAGACAGCCCGGTGTTCATCCGGCTGCGCTGCCAGGGCACGGGGAAGTGCCATGCCGCATGCTCAGCATCATGTCAGCATCTTCTCTCTGCGGGAGAAGGCATGAGCAGAAAGCTTGGGGTGCACAAAACTCTTGGGAGCACTTTGCTGCAGGTCTGGTTCGCTGGTGACCCCAGCTTGCCACTGCTGGTCACAGGGCTGGGGTTTCTTTGGGTGACAAAAGGGCATGGGCACCATTAAATTCGGCTTCTGCTTCGTTCTTCAGCTGGAGCTGAACCTCTCTTGGATGGTATGAAACAGCTGCAGCTCACTGTCGCCACGCAAAGCCTGGTTTTATGAGGCTTCTCATATTGCTCTGTTTGTCAGCTCCCAGCCACTGAGGAGTTAAAAAAATGTCTCAAAGGGAAAAAAAAACCAACAGTCTGATTTTTCAGGCCACTCGGTCTTAAAAAAAACCACAAAACCACAGCTCTCTGTAAATCAAAATCCTGATTGTGGGGGAAGGACGAAGCTCTTTGGGCTCACGGGTTCCTTCAGTAGCAAAAAGAAATGTTGCTGGTGTTACTGATTGAAGTGGGATGAGATACAGCGGTTTCCCATCTTGGCACTTAAAAATACATTCTGGCATTTTCTCAGGACAGGCTTCAGGCAGGTCCCTAACCAGAGTCTGAGTAATGGCAGCAGGCAGTGCCGGCCCAGCTGCGTGCTGGAGAAGTGTGTCATCCAAACGTGGGGGGGTTGCACTTTACTGGAGGTAGGACCCTGGGGTCCTCAGCACAGCATCCTGCTGCACATCACACCCACACTGCCAGCCCTTGCCTGGGGTTAGCCCTGAGCAGGGCAGGAGAGCCCCATGCTGCTCCGGTGGCCAATGCAGGCGAGACCCTGCCTGCCTTATGGAGACCTGTGGGCACGTGCCTGGGGCTGGCCGCTTGCACAAGGATCTCGCTGGGGAATACAGGAGCTGCTGCAGGAGTAAGAGCAGGGCCTGCCCCGGCGTCCCCACATGTGGTGGGTGACAAGACGTGGCACTGCTGTGCCTTGGCGAGTGAAGGCGCAAGCTCAGGACCAGTCTGTATGGCCAAGTTGTAGCCCTTCGCTCTGCCCTGGTGTTGTAAGCCAGCCCTTTCAGGCAGGGAAAGCCAAAGTCCAAGGTAGCAGACTCTGAGCAAACACTTGTGAGGCGTGAACTCGTGGCTTTGGGCATGCCCCATGCTTTCCTGGCGGTGTGCGAACTCCTTGCTGTGTCAGGATCTGTTCTGAACCACTCTCTAAATAAGTGATGCTCTGCTGTGTTTCATGCAGGGGTTTTGTCCAAAGGAAGAGTCCGCTGTCCCTGGCATGGAGCTTGCTTCAACATTGCCACAGGCGACATAGAGGACTTTCCTGGCTTGGACAGCTTACCCAGGTTCCAGGTGAGACCTTTTTTCTTGCAGGAGAGGAAATCACAAAATCAGAGCATGGTTTGGATTGGAAGACACCTTTAAAGATCTAGTCTAACCCTGCTGCCATGGGCAGGACAGCTCTCACTAGATCAGGTTGCTCAGAGCCCTGTCCAACCTGAATGAATGTTTCCAGGGATGGGACATCCACAATTTCTCTGGGCAACATGTGCCAGTGTCTTACCAACCTCATAGTAAAACATTTCTTCCTTATGTTCAATCTACATCTACCCTCTTCCAGTTTAAAGCCATTTCCCCTTGCCCTGTCGCTACAAACCATCATAAAAAGCCTGTCCCCATCTCTCCTATCAGCCCCTTTAAGCCCTGGCAGCTGCAGGAAGGTCTCCCCGGACCCTTCTCTGCTCCAGGCTGAGCCCCCCCAGCTCTCCCAGCCTGTCCTCCCAGCAGAGCTGTTCCAGCCCTCGGAGCATCGATG